CCCCAAAAAAAAACTTCAAAAAGTAACAAAAATATATCCCTTTTTTTATCATTCTGGATGCCATCTATGCAGTTACTGCGAGCAACTGTACTTACCTGACTCTGCTGTTGGAGGGCAGCGGGGTCAGTGTCCTCCAACTCGGGAGGAGAATCGTCATCGTCTGAATCTGAAGATGCAGAGTCCTCTGCAGGCTTTGTCTCCTCAACGGGTTTTTCTACGGCGTTGATAGGCATGATGATGGTCTGTCTGTGAGGTCCAACCTTCGGCAGAAAGAAAAACGAGCTTCATAAGACATTCAAGTAGGCTATTTTAAGGCAACATATAATTAAATATAGATCTAGAATCTAGATGATTATGTGTAGATTAGATATCGAGAAACTCAACACTAATTGACGATCAAAAACTAGCATAGCCTACATGATACTAACAACAAAGACACAATCTAGTCAACAGTTGTTACTAGATCTAGCACTGGCGAGGGAAACCCCGAAAGACAACAAAAGTAGATTGCTGAAATACGTCGTTTAGAATCTACGTCTTGCCTTAGACTTAAATTTCTAGATCTAGATAGAGAAATCTAGATTCTAAATTCTATATTTGGGCCAATCACAGACTGGACAGAGGTCTACTAGATCTAGATAGACGGAAGTCCCGTGCTAGACTGCTAGATATCAAGATCTAGATCTAGATTCTAGATCAAAGACTCAAAGTTGTTTTAAAATTAAGTCATAGTCAGAGTCTAAGTCAGTGATCTTGTAGATCTAGTTGCGTTCGTAAAGTAGTTAAAAGTCCATGATCCATTTGTTTACATCCAGAGAAGAAATCCAGAAGTCTTGATGACCAAAAACTATTTGAAATAGGCTACACAAAGAGCAGGGATGCATCCTAACTGCAAAACATCAAAAAGGACAAAATTTCGGCGCTTTTTCGGTAGTTCCCACCCCCCTTATTTGATTGAGTCTGACCTACATCTAGATCTAGATCTAGAATCTAGATCTATATACGTTTGATTCGCGGCAAGCTAAGATATCAAACCTAACAACTGCAAAACATTAAATTGTGGTAAAA